AATACAATTGCACTGGATGCCAAACTTGTTCAAGTATTGTCATAGTATGGCCTTATTGCCCTACTGCTTTTAATAACAGTAGTAACATTAGCTTTGGCTTATTTTAAAGGCAACTCGGGAGATTTCATGGATGACAGCGCAATTAAATGGAAAATGTGAGGAGATGGCGCGCGGATCTTCTCAAATAGGTGCTAAGAGGTGTCTATTTGCTTCCCTGAAAAACATTAATCTTTATTCACATGAGTTGGCAGTGATGAGTCGAGTGAAAGCCGATTTGGAAACATCCAACAGTGGATTATGTGTATGCTCATCCTTCAACACCACTTGCCTTTCGACACTGACAATGGCCTAAGTAATTTTGAATGGTTTCCTCCATTGTAGCTTGACAATATTGTTTGCCTAATTGAAACTGCTCGAAACTTAATGCGGGAGGTCAACAAGGCCATGAGCGAGCTTCGAAATATTGCCGATCAAGATCGGTTTTGGTCCGCCTCCATCCTTCCTCCCGTCCCCTCTCGTCCCCGTCAGCACCGTGCCAGTATACAGGGCGAGAGTCATAGCGAGTAACCTCAATGAAGTTACTCCACTTTACATTCAACGTTGGAACTGACCAAACTGCCAACTTTTCACCTAAGCTTGTTTATCCAAGGGATCAAAGGAACGTGCATTAGATTTATATTTCCTCCATTTCACCTTTTAATGTCGATTCTCTTACAAAATGCAGTATTTTTTTCTGCTCCTTGACTTTTGGAAGCATTTAAGTCAACAAAAACTTGAAGGGCATTTACACAAACATGATGCTAAACCCCTCCATGTGTACTTGGTCGATGCCTTCATTTGCAAGCATTGGTAATTATTTGGGTTTAGAAATTAAACGCAGCAATATCTGCAGGAAAATGAACCTTTCAAGGCGAATGCTCTGTCGCTTTAAAGTAATGGTGAAATGGACGTCAAGAGAATCAGCTGGTGTTGATAGCTCATCGTGTCGAAGGCTAAAGCGCTTAGGTCTTGCTTACTCTCTTGTTGCACATCAACTTGATGAGGATTAAAATCCTCCAGGTTATTTCCCACACGCCTACAGTCAACGCGGCAGATGTAATGTGGATCGGAACACTCGAGGGTAACTCACACAGGTGATGATCATGCGCAAATCCTCGCAAACAATTGGTTAACTTGGTGATAAAGGCTTATAATCTTGTAAGCACAAAGACCAAGGATGGAAGAGGTATTTTAAGAAAATAATCTGAATTTTACTTCAGGAACATCCAAAGCTAACACTTAAATTTAGCGATTTTAAAGTGACAGCACACAATGAGCCACCTCTAGTCTTAAACCATCATTACTGAATGCTGTCGGAAAAATCAAATTTCGGGTTATACGGGAAGCTAAAAATACATTCCTCACTTCGAAAACTTCATAAT